TGAGATAACTTCTCCTATGCCATGGTTCCCCTTACAGGGGTCCCATGGAAGAACCAGCCCACTATGTCTTACTCTTGGCTTGTGTTCATCTCTCAGACAAAAATCTGTATGCTTAATGTTTCTGTCCTGGACAGCTATATACCAGTTTTTCATTCATCAATACAGAGACTAGGGCCTACATACCAAAGAAAGGACATATTTGACTTCACCACTCTTAAGGAGGACTATCATCTGACAACCGGCTGGTGCTGTATGAATACTGTAAGGGCCCCACTTTTATGGGTCCCAGTGTACTTTGGGCTAGTGCTTGTAATGGGAGATTCATCTCCAAGCTGATCAAGTCCTCAAACATCACTGGTAAAAACTCTTATTGCATATTTGCTACTGGCCATCACAAGTATATTTTAACAAAATATACAACAGGGTTAACAAAACTGTGTAACTCTACCTTTCTATTCCCCTATGCCTCCGTCTTTTACCAGCAGCCTTAATGTCACTATCTGTTTCCAGAAGACTCCTCTCAGGCCCAGGCTAACAACACCCAAGGTATGTTATGCCTTGAGGAAGGATATCTCTTTGTATGGAGGTCATGGAAAAAGAACCAGGTATGGGGGTTGCCATGTTTATACCCAAACCATACTCGAGGAAATTGAACAATTGTCCAACTTATACCTAATCCTGGACATTTCTTTTTGAATAATACTATAATACAACAAACTGAATTTTCCCAACTAACAGGAATGACTTCCCATAGGGATAAAAGGGAGGTTACTCTAATAGTTTTAGGGAAAACAGCATTAACTACAGTCCTAGCTGGAATCAATTATAGAGTGATTGCCAATCATGTAACTGCAAAAAACCTAACCAAAGTAATAGAGGGCACCTCAGACCAGATAGGCCTTGCCATTAAGGACATACAAAGGTCTTTGTCATCCCTTCCTGTATGGTCATGGACCACTGCCTGGTCCTAGATTTTCTTTTAGCTAAACAAGAAGGGGTATGTGCAATCAACAATACTCCCTGTTGCACATATATGAACACTTCAGGCATTGTAGAGGAACGTGCAGACTACATTCTTCCACAGGCTAAGTGGCTCTGAGAACAGTCCCTTGAAACTCAGATATCCACACAGGAATAGGACCAAATGAAATCCTGGCTCCCCTCCAGTTCCTGGTTCCTATCCTTTCTGGTGCCTATAGTTGCCATTTATTTTCTTCCTTGTGTTTGGGCCTTGCATTTTAAACTTACTATTCAAGTTTGTTTCCTCTCACCTAGAATTCATCAAACTACAGATGCCCCTGATGGAGATGAAAATGACCTACTATCCTGGTCCCCTTGATAACCCTTCTCATGGTCAGCCCTGATGCTGTGGGCCCCTTCATTGCTCTTCATTCCTCTCTGTCAGCAGGAAGGAAGCAGTTATCCCTATTCCTAACAGCAGTTAGGGTGATCATGGTGTGGGGGCAGGGACTTGAAGGACATACTGCAGGATGTCCCAATAACTAGCCAGGGAAACACTTCTCCTTCCCAGGAAACATCTGTTTGCACCACAGAGTCATCTCTGCCCTATTAAAAAAAGGCTATAAAACCCAATTTCCAATCTGACCCACAGAACACCCAGTTTCTGATCCATGGATCCACCAGTTTCTGGATCCAATTGCATGGCTCATGCAGCTTTTCTCTTCTCTTCTCTACAAATAAAATCTTTCTGACCTCTGCTGCTTGAGTTCACCTTTGCTTTCTATCTCAGAGCCAAACAAGTACCCCAACACCCAAAAATTCTTGTGTATGATGAGGGTTCCTTTTTTCCTGTATCCTCGCCAACATTTGTTGTCCTTAGTCAGTGATAGCAGATGGAAAAGTTCAGTTTCTGTCTTAGTATTTATTACTTCCTGATTGATCAACTACCAAGCTGTCCTTGTCAACCTTTCAACTTAGTTTCCAGAGATCTCAATGGAAATGAATCTTAAAAATGTCTCCTGTAAGGTAATAATAATGGTCACAGAAGCAATGCCTTACACTCCTATGATGGTTTATAATTTTGAAAGTTCTGCCATGTATAGTCCAGAAGATGCTAAAGAGAGGAAACGACAGTAGCAGAAAAGTAGAAAGCACAATAGGGCTGGCACTGCCCTAGAAAGCAGTATTAGTAACCTCAGAGGTTTAGACATGTGTAATGTTGGATCAGAAATAACCCGTCAAAGGGAGCTAGCCAGAATGGAATGAATATGTATCTTGAAAGTATGAAGGAGAAAACAGTTTTCATTCAAAATACAATTGAGATGAAGTATAATCAAGTCCTAAACTTAGTTTTCTGGACAAACTTCTATTAACTCTCCTTAAATCAATCAAAGATTCTCTATGTTAAAGAATGAAGTGTTCTGAGTGACTGAATAAACAAAAGCCTTCACAGTTCTCTGAAATTTTGTATCTGAAAACCTCACTTAGTTAATGTCACTTCAGTACTGTCTCAATTAGAAAACATTCCTAAAGGAATGTGTCTGCTCCCCATCAGTGACTTTGCCTCCTCCAGTCAACCCTGTCACCAAAGCACTTCCAGGTACCGCTGGAGCAAATACTCAGTGATTTCCTTGCAGTCCTACAGTCACTCATTACTCAAGGGAAATCCAGCAAAGGGTGGCAGAGAAATGGTACGTTTATTTCACTTTCTTCCATAAAACTCACAAGAAGTGAGGGGAAAATTGGGAAGAGACCTGGACCTGTGTTGAAATTAGACTATGTGTGAGAACTTCAAACCGCAAAGTGTGGACCAAATCAAGTGAGGTACAGAAACGAAAATATGATACCCAGACCAAGAAGAGTGTGAAAGAGTCTCTGAGGTAGGCATGAGAGTTCTGAGGTGCCAAATGTTGAGTTTCTGCTTAAAACAGGGAGGATTCAGGGTGTAGGCAGACCACAGGAGGCTGGTGGACACTGTGTGTGGGACCAGCTTCTATACTGCAGAGTGGGGTCGGGGCAGAGAAGGGAAGAGGAGACCTGTCACTTCATGGGGGAGGTCTGGTGAGGAAAAGGGTAGATTTTAACTTGACATACTTCTGTAGTGTTTTATTTTAAATAAGCCTGCTTTTCACAGTTAAAAAAAAAGAAAATAAAAACCATTAGGAGTGCCAGCAACACAACTCTATCACTTTTTTTTTTTTAATTTAATGAATTAACTTGGTCCTGGGGTTTGAACTCAGGACCTCCCCTTTGTAATGCTCTACCACTTGAGACACATCTCAGTCCTTTTTTGCTTTAGTTATCTTTCAGATAGGGTCTTGTGTTTTTCCTCAGGGCCAGCCTGAACTGTGATCCTCCTACCTATGCCCCTGTGTAGCTGGGATAATGGGTGTGCTACTGGTTGAGATGGGGTCTCAATAACCTTGTTTTCCCCTGGGCTGGTCTCAAACTGTGATACTCCTATCCCTACTTCCTAAGAAGCTGGGATTACAGGTGTATACTTCCATGGCTGCCCAATTCAAGGATTTTAAATTATTTAGTGGGCATTAGAGGACAACCCTGACCTGGGGATTTTTCCAACCAGGGCACAAAACCTAATGACCAACATTCCCTGTGCTGCAGACACACAACAAACCTGCACTGAATGTGTCCTGGGAGGAGCAGTCGTTCTGGTCTGGCATTTCAGATTTGACTTTTATTTATTTATTTTTTTTCAAGAAAAGAGTGTATAAGATTTACAAAACACTACAAAGAAACACACCCCTATGGGTAGATTTGTATACATATATACAACCTGAGAGAGTAAGAAAAGATACAGAGAAAAGAACTCAAAACACTTTCCCCAAGAGAAATTTAGTATTAACTGAAAAACAAAAACAAAAACAAAAGACCATTTTGTTGATTTGGTATAAAATATAGTTAGAAATTTTTGTCTGCCCACAACAGGACTATCTGTATTTTATGTAGAAAAAGGAAGGCTGGGCAATTGTAAAGGCTTAAAAATCATTATCAAAAACCATTATCAAAACAAATGTAGCCATCAGTTTACTAATCTCTTGCATTGTGGCAGCAATGTGGAAGCTGTGGTTATGATGAAACAGACATTTCTTCATAACTAGCATGTGATGTTTATTCATTAGCTCTTTAGTCTTAAAGGAAATCAAGTCTCTTTGTTTTACCGAGAAGTTGTCATTTGAATTTACATTTTGTCATGAAGTAAGGGTTTGTTAGGTTGTTTGATAAAAGCATCACAGAGGCAGCACAAAGCACAGAGAACCAAGAGATGCTTAGATTAGGACTTGTAAAGCACAGATTGACTGAATCCTTCAGCTTTGCTTGTTTGAAAGGGCAGAGAAGAAAAATAAAATCAAGGATAAACCTAAGTCCAGTGTTTTTATCATTCTAATCTCACCTGGATTTAAACAGAACAACACAACACATGGCATTTGACACCACACACAAGGGGTGCCCAAGCCGCCCCTGAGGCAGGCAGATTACAGAGGCAGAGCTGGAACCCAAACACCTCTGCAAGAAGCTATTCAGATTCAAGATTATCAAACAGCAATGCTGCCTCTGAAGTGTGCACTCGCCGAAGACTACAGCTAATCGTGACAGCTGAGAGTGGCAAAGGTCTGGGGCTGTATCACCAGAAACTCACTCAACTTTGAAGCAACACCACACGGCCCCTAGTGTCTTGCCAACTTTAACCACAGGGACTCTGGAAGCAATTTGGAAGGGGTGATTAGGAAGAAATAGCCATGTCTTCAATAGTCTTTGGTCACTTGCCTGTGATTTAGCTTGGCCATATGCTCCTGAAGCCACATACATTCAACAGCTGTCTCCACAGAAGTCAATCTCAATAGCTTCATTACATTTTTTGTATTTCCATAAACATGTCTTAATCTAGGCTAAACCCACCATTCAACATCAGTGAACATCTTGGTTTCGCTGCATTGAAAAGATGTTATTAAGTGTTTAAAAAACCACAGATAATATTTTTCTGAGCCCAAATGTGTTGGTTTCATTTGTTCGCTGATTACCTTTCCACATAGATGTTTTTTCCTGTCCCGAGGGAGTAGAGGCTGCACAGTATGTGATAACATGAAATCTGCATGTCGTTCACTGAAAGGAAAGAGAAAAGTCATTACCACACATCAGTCTTGCTCTAGCTTCTGTACATGGTAAGTCCATGAAGAGAAAGACAAGGTGGTGTCAGCCACACATAGATCTCCCTGTTTAAACAAGTGTAGGCCTTTTCTACCCAGATGCTAGCTTGCAAGTTGCAGAACTGGGAGAGGAAAATGTCTTCCACTGAGCCACCCCAGTTCCTTTCTGGGGCATCCTAGGGAATGGGATCATTTGATCATGGATTCCTCAAATGGGACCTTTTCCAATACAGGCAGGCATTATAGTCAAATGTTATCACGTGTAATATTGCTTTCCTTTGGAAGGAAGAATGCAGAAAACCTAAAGCTTCACGAAACCTTTTACTCTTTTCTAGACTTAGAACAAAATTCCTCACATCTGCTCATCCCAAGTTCTCTGCTGTGTGTTTTTTTAAAGGCAATTCAAGTGCATGATGGTTTTTGCATGTTTCCTATGGGAAGGGATGGCCCACTAAGGAACTCACAGAGTTGAATCTGCTGGTTGCGTGCCCTACTCATTTCTGGAACTCACACTAAGTTTAGGACTACTTTTACACAATCAGAACCAATTTAATGTTTTATTTTTCAACCAAGAAATCACACTGTTTCCATGACACAAAATGCCTACCCATTGGGGATGACTCATTTTCAGTTGTTCAGGGTTACGGCAGACACAGCCTTAACCACTGACAATTGGCTAAAGCTAAATTAAATCATGTGCCAAAACTCAAAGTGCACACCTCAAGCTCTGTGACAGAATGTCCGCATGGTGGGTGGGGGCTGGGCTGGACATAGCGCTAAATGCAAACTAGAATAAAACCGACTGGCTTTGGCCTCCTTCTGAAGGCTCAGATAATGAAATTTGAGTGTCTTTCCCTTGCTTCTGGTACCAATGAATACATTAAGGCTTCTTAACAGGAAAACCCTGGGAGACAATGTACATCTTAGACTCCATTACTCAGATAACCTTTTCTAATTAAGCAGAAGCACGATAGCTGAGAGCTAGACCAGCAGGCAGGAAATTCTGCTCCAGAGTGAAATTGGGAAATGATAAATATTACATTCTCAAATTAAGGGGTTTCTTCGACTTCATCTTTCTTAAGTCTAAGAAGAAAAAAAGTATGGAATAATTATGCCTCTACTCTGCCCTCGAGGTCAGTGTAAGTCTATAGGTCTCACACTTCCTGTCTGGGGCATTGTGCAGAGAAATTCACGGCCAATCGCAGCAGGACTCACAGAGTAGGTCCACCCCAAACTGATGCTGGGCAATGTGCTCGAAGATGGACGTCAGGATGGGGAGCAGAGCCACAGTGGTGTAGTTAATGTTCTGAGAGACGCCTTTGATCTGCGTTCTGGAATGAGTGAACTTCCCGAGCTTCAGATTTTCCAAAGTCTTCTCCAAGTCTTCTGCAGCATTCTCAAAGAATGCTCGCAGGCCAGCTTTGACAAGCTCCGAGCCAGACTTCATGACTGTCCTGCAAACAAACAGGGCTCAAAATCAGAGGCACTATCCCAACTTTTGGCCAACCTCCCTCCTGAAGGAGTGACTGCAATGAGTCACCCATGACACTGTGTCAGGAGAAATGGAGGAGAGAGTTCACCTCCAGGGGATACCTGGACCACACAAGCCGATAGAGCAGGGGCTGCATGGTCCTCTCAGCTTGAGGGAATTGTCGTTCAACTCTACAGGACACGTAGAGACATTTTAGAATGAAGTCGCCCATAAATATGGCAGCTGGAAACAAAAAATATCTAATTAAAAGAACAGGAGCTAAGCAGGGCACTGGTGGCTTATGCCTGTAATCCTAGCTACTCGGGAGGCTAAGATCGGGAGGATTGCAGCTTGAATCTATCCCAGGACAGGGTTTGGGGCAGTTTGTGAGACCCCATCTCAAAAAGATGGGTGTAGTGCTGGGCAACTGTCATCTCAGCTACTTGCAGGAAACGTAAAATAGGGGGATTGCGGTCCAAGCCAGGCTATCTCCAAAATAACCAGAGCAAATAGGGCTGGGGATGTGGCTCAAGCAGTAGAGCACCTGCTTAGCAAGTGCAAATTTCAAACCCTAGTCCTGCCAAAAAAAAAGAAAGAAAGAAAGAAAAAGAAAAAAGGATGTGAGTTGGTCTAAAAGCATTCTCTCTCCTGATACAGAGCCACTTAGAGAGAAAGGAGAGATGACACTGGAGCTTGGACCTCTGTTAACTACAGATGTCCCAAGTTGGAGGAAGGGAGAGAAAAGGGACAGCCAGTCTTTGTAAAACAGACTAATAAAATTGCTCTATCAGACCGTGGGGGAGAGGACATTGAAATGTGTCCCATGGGGAAGGAGATTAACTGTGAGCATCTGAATCCTCCCTCAATACTGTTTTACAAAACCCATGAGCACCTGTAGCTTTCCATCTTTCTCCAACTTTGATCAGACAATCATAACAGACTTGCCTCAAGGGTAGATGCTTTTCTTCTACAGAATGTTCCTGATCATTATCCAGTTCATCAGGAAAATAAAAAGAAAACACAGCTAGTGGTGCTTGCTTCTGTTTTGTAAATACTCATGGACTGTCTTTCTAACTTTCTAGTTGTACGTTTTGTTGGGAATGATTTCTAAACACTGCTCTAAGTTTTAGGGCTCTAACTTTTTCCTGCAAGTTCGTCATGAATTTTCATTTTCTGGGCTACTCTCTTGGGTTGGTAGCTCTTCTGTCATTGGGTGTTAGGAGGTGTGTGCTCCTCCTGAGTGATAAAGGCTCTGCTCAGTGAGTATGTTACAGAGTGCTCTCTGTCAGGTCTTTTTACTGCTCCTCACTTTAAAAACATTATTTACATTAACATCACCAGAATTTACATGTTCCCTGTTCAGTCTTCTCCCCAGACCCTCAGGCTAGCTTGTCTCTGAACCTAGGGCCTCATACATGCCAGGCAAGTACTCTACCACTGAGCATTATCCCTGGCTGATTCTGTTGTTTTGTTTTGGATATAGGGTCTCATTCTGTCACCCAGGATATCCTTGAACTCGAAATCCTCCTGCCTCTGCCTCCCAGTGCTGGGATTACAAGTGTGCATCCTCACATCTGGCTGTCTCAGATCTTTTCAAATTCTTATCTCCCTGTGTTTCCTTCTTGGCCATTTTGAATTCAGAGTGATGTTGTTCTTCTTTTTCAGGCTATGGTAGTCTCACCAGCCATCAGGCAGGTCTTTGTTCTAGGGGAGAATGGGTACAAAGCTGCTACACTATATACTTTATCTTCTGAAAGATGAACTCAGTGAAAGAAGAGAGGAACTGATGGAATGGTAGTGGCTATATGTGGGAGGAGGAGGAGAGTGCCACTTCCAGGGTCAGATTCATCTTTGTCCTGTGAGAGGGTCAGGGGACTCGAGGAACAACTGGAAAAAACCTGGTAGACTCACCTTGTGTCAAGTGTCTGCGCTAAGATGTGAAGACAGCTCACCATGGTAGTAGAATCGCTCCCTGGAACGAAAAGTATCACCTGTGACTTCCCAATCACTCAGCCTGTCTGAGTGGTGCAATCTCTCACTATGCATAAGCCATGGAAGGTCCTGTGTAATGAACCACCAACACAGAGTGCCAGGCCTGTGTTCAGGGATGGGGCATTTATCCTGACACAGTCTGGGCTTCATGATGGATGTTAGAGGCAGGCCTTAAAACCTTCATTGGCATGGAAAATCTGAGCTGCTAAAGGGGTAGAAAGGTTGTTTATCACACTTCAGAATAATTTTCTATGGCAAATTTAGGTGGCCTTAGTTCCAGGTCTCAGGTTGTCTCACAGAGTCATAAAACTGGAGGCAAAGCCAGTTCAGGATAATTACGGGGAGGAGCAGAGCCTTTGTAACATTCACTTACCAAAGAGGGAGATCCTGTGTCGAACAAGAGCAGCGAGTTTGCAGAACAGGCTAAAGCAGAAAGTAATGCAATTCAGAAGTAACAGACACTCCAGGACTAACTGTACCCCTCTCTCCCACCCCCACAGTAGAACAGAGCATCAAGAGGCAGTCCAGGAAGATACACTACACTCCTCTTGAAGAATCCTTTGAACCATGCTTGGGAAAATAATGTGATTCATGCAGTTCCATTGGGGAACCATGAGGAATCTTTTTCCAAGAGCATCAGAAGCACACAGTGCTCCTGGGGTGTCAGCCTGCTTGCAGACGGCTCCATCCTACTGGAAAGAATTCCTCTGGTCACAGTGTTTTCACTAGTGTTGTGCAATCTGTCCTTTGCTACTGATACTATGTGCTAAAATGGTCACTTGCATGACATTCAGGAAGGAATGAGGACTCTGAAAGGAAGCATGAATGTCCATCATTGCAACGGGATGCAAACCATTCTGTAGCCTTCAAGCGGAGTGTGAGGTTTTAGTTGGGAGGTGGGCAAGAAGTTAGAACTGGAAGAATGTTAGTGATTAGGGTAAGAAATAAGATTGTGTTAAACAAAAAATATTCCAGGAAATGTATTTTCTGTTATCTGGAACACTGGAAATTAGGAAAGCCTGTGTGGTATGACTTCTGGTGGTGGGAGGCATGTATGGGGTTTGAATTCAGGAGCTAGCTTGCTAGGCAGGTGCTCTACCACTTGAGTCACCCTACCAGCCCTTTTTGCATTGGTTATTTTTGAGATAGGGTTTCACTTTGTGCTGAGGTGGCCTGGACTACAAGCCTCCTATTTTTGCTTCCTGTAGTAGCTGGGATGACTGACAAGTATGTGTCTCTGTGCTCAAGTCATTTGTTGAAGTGGGGTCTCATGAAATTTTTGCTGGCCTTGAATGGCAATCCTGTCTCAATCTCCACTTCCTGAGTAGTTAGAATAATTGTGCCGGGCCCCAAATTTGTGTTTTTCAACCTTCTCCACATCTTCACCCATATATATATATAGTTTTTTAACCATGGAACCCCTTGAAAGTTCAATTGTGCCTTATTACCTGACTCTCCACACCAGGAACAGTGTGCATTAGAAATGTGCTGTGAACGGATTCTGCCCAGGCACAGTGGCCAAGGTGTGCACTGTGTTGCTGATGCTATTGGTGCCCCAGAACCCTGACAACTGCCTGACTCTGCAAGACTAGATAAGAATTATGCACACCCTTCAGAAAGCAGTAGAATGGAAAGAGGGACAATAGGAAAAACAAAACACCTACAGAGGCCATGAGGTTCCATGATGACTGAGCTAAGTCACTGCCAATCCCTCATTTTTACCTTGGTATCGGGGCTTCTTGCCTCATACACAGGACAGTCTTGTACAGCACAACTCAGATGGAGAGGAAATGCATCCCGAGTGTTGGTGGGGATGAAGCTTGCTCACCTTTAAATGGTTTTCAATTAATGCCTCGGGGTTTTTTGGGCTTTCTACTGGCAAATCACAGCCAAAGTCTTCTGTAGTAAGTCATTAGTTTTTGCAGTGGAAATAAGTTGAAGCACCTTGGCCTCATGCGTAAGAGAACTCATAATAAGTTAAAAGTTTGGCAGCCAGATAGCATGAAATTAAATATGGGCTGCTTCTTACTTGATGGGAACTCATGGAGTTGGAGGAGGTGGACAAAGAATGTGGCTTGTGTCGCTGATGCTCTTGGTCCTGTGCTCTGCCCATGAGTAACTGGGCTGTCTCTGTGAAGTCCCTTCAATCCTCTCTCCTCTGTGTTAACTTTCCATCCATAATTAAAATGACTCTCCTGGTTTTTAAAATTAGGGTTGACAGACTCAGATGTTTCTGGTGAAAACGTTTCATGCTGAATGTACGCATGTCCCACATAAACACAAATTTATTTTTTTTAAGCTAAAGCAGATGGCTGGATTATTTGGCCCTAAGACTGATGTGGCCCCTGAGGGTGACAGTCTTTCCAGGTGTGCCAGGGCCAGGAATGGAACTTACAAAGGTTCTGGCTCATTCCCGAAGAGCCCAGGATTTAACTGGAAGCATTGCCCTTAGCCCAGAAAAATGAGGGTCCAGAGCTCCCAGCCACTCTCCTCCATTTCAGGGTTTGAAGGTATCTCAGGGAGAGCGCCTAGGACCCCCAGTGAGTAGCATCCATTATGGAAGAAGTGGGCCAGGGTGGAGGATACAAACCAAGATGCCTGGTGATGGGAATGCATGCAGAGCAAACACGTCTGCTTCTGCGAGAGGGTGCGGGCACACTGGTGAATGGGGAAGCTATTTGCAAGGCTGATCAGCTCTAGGCTGTATTCCTGCTACGACAAATGCTGCCTGCTTGAACAAATGTTACATTTCCATGAATTAATAGTCTAAGAAAAACAGTTGAAGCAAACAGACACTCCTGCCCCCTGCTGGATTATCTGAATACCTCGCCTTGCTCCTCCCTTCCCCAGCTCCTTGGGAACCTTGCTGGTGCATCCTGGTCTTTGATCAGTGCCTGATTCTAAGGGTATTCCATTCTGAAGGGCTTTTACGTCTTACGTGAGAACAAGTAATTACGGTATGGAATAAAGGTAGGTGATGTTCACAGATGGGACTGGATTTCCATTCTTGTCCTAATTTATGAGTTGTCTTGCTTTGTGCTCTACAGTGAACCTAACTGAGCCTCAGTTTCCTCCTTTGCAAAACGGAGGCCTCAATACACACATAGTATGGTAAGTTTAAGACACAGATACTGTGAGGTTTCACAACGCAGTAACTCTCCTGCATATGAAAAGTTAAGTTCAGTGGTTAGCCACGCAGACTGTTTAGAAAATGATAGTTAAATCCTAAAGGTGCCTATCCTTTCAAAGACTGTGCACTTATGAAGTACAACATGAATTACTTATTTCCTGTCAGTGGATGCTAGCAAAGAGCTTGTAGGCCTTCATTAAAATCCTTAATCCATACCTTGTCTTTCATGAATCAGACAAAGAAAGCCATGGTGGAATTTACCTCTGAGCCTGATGGCTCAGCATCCTGTCTGTTCTGATTTGAGACAGTACCATGTGTTATGCCTGATGGAATAGGAGGGAGGCTGATACTTTTGAAGAAAACATCTTTTTTTGCTAGGAATTTAAGTTGAATTGTGTTGTTCTAGATTTCAAATATCAGATCATTCACATCAGGATTTGTAGGATCTGACTTTTTAGGGAAGGGAGGAGAGGTTGACTGCAGAGCCAAAAAGTCAACAAGACCCTCAAAAACAAGCCAAGTGTAGGGGTTCAATCTTGTAATTACAGCTGCTTGGTGGTGAAGGTAGGAGGATTGGATCTGAGGCCAGACCCCGCAAAAACTCAATCCCCATTCTGAAAAACACTAAAAGCAAAAAGGACTAGGGGTGTGGCTCAAGCTCGAGGCCCTGAGTTCAAGTCCCAGTACCATAAAAATAAATAAATTAATTAAATAAAATTCCAATCTCTAAACTTGATGAGAAGGGGGATAGAAAGCTGTGTCCACCTATTTCCTCTTAGTGTTGTGTGTTTGCTTCTTCAAGATGGTCTTAACCTTCTTCTGACACTGTCTCAGGTTGATTTGATTATGTAAATTCTGTAAATCTTTCCCAAGCCCAACTGAAACCCCAGCAGTGAACTTTCTTAGCTGTTGACGTTACATGCAAAGCTGTGCATTTCTTTTAAGTAATTTTCTTCAAAACTGAGATGAGAGCCCAGCCTCTGAGCTACCCATCATTAGGCTGTGCTTCATTTCTCAGAAAGACTCACTAGGCACCTTAATGAATGCAAGAGCACCATGACTACTATGGTATAGACAAGAACCCCCAAGGCCCATGTGCTGAAGGCTTTGTCTCCAGGATGGTGCTGTTGGGAGGGGGTGGATCTGGTGGAGGTTAGTGGGGAAGGGCCATGCCTTTAAAAGAGATCATGCAATATTGTCCCCTTTCCCCTTTTGTTTCTTGGCCATGAGTGAGTGTTGTTTCAGTCTGTGCTCCCCTCCACTGCCATGGGGCCCAGAGCAATGGGTTCATCTGTCTTGGAGTGGGGACTCCAGAACTGTGCGCTAAATAAACATTTTACTGTTAATTGTCTCTGACATTTTGTTGTGGCAGCTGGCCAATATCATACCCTTCTCTATTTTGTGGACTCACCTGGCCACCATTTCTTTCTCCTTGTGGGAGGCATACCCACTGCTGCTCAGCGGCTTCAAGGGTGATGACAGGAAGTAGAGGCGGTGGTTGGTGAAGTACTGGTCAACCAGTGGCAAGAGCACCTGGAAAACCCACCACATACCAACGTTAGGAAGCCAGTCTGAGCTGTGCTGGTGTTGGTTTTAAAGGTTCTTCCCTGGTGAGCAGAAAGCTTTTCAACAGGGGTCCTGGGATTTCCAGGAAACTCTCCGTTTTGGAGATATAATGATATAATATATCATTATATTATACTGAGATATAATGGATCTCAGTTGCCATTATATTTTCCTCTTCTATGCTTCAAACCAAAGGCCTTAGGGATATGTGAAAGGAAAGGGTGCTGGCTAAGGGCCCAAGTAAATGTGCACAAAGCCCTGAGTCAGATTTGCAGGGCAGGCATAGAGGACACTTGTATTCAGATGTGGCTTCCTGGCCATGGCACTAGCAGGTGCATTCAAGGCACAGTCTAGTACTACCTGTCTCAGGTGTCAGACCAAGACTATTCAAGGCCTTCTATGCTGAACAGGGTTCTGTGGAAGAACACCGCTCAGTGGTAAATCATTGTTCTCCTTCTTCCTTTTAGCAATAGACCCTCCTGTGTTTAAGCCAGGCAGAGAACCACTTGGCTAGAGAATGCATTATTACCCTGTCTTCCTTGTAGCTAAGGTCTAGCCAGCAGGTTAAAGTTCAGAAAAGCAAGAGCCTGTCCCCTCCTTGCCTTTCCCAAGATGTGGTACAGGTGAGTCAAACAGATCCAAACAGACTGACTTGGCTCATACCTCTGGAGGTGGCAGAGACCCAGAGCAGGAAGGTTCTGGGTTGCCTGGGGGCTGAGCAGGCTGCCTGTGCCCCCCACCCACCTCGGGTTTGTTTCACTGAAGCTACTGGAGATTTAGGATCAGTTTAACTCACATTGTACAGAACCTAAGGAAAAGGTAATTCAGTTATGATAGTCACTTACTTTGGCAAAGAACTTGATTTCCTGGTCGTGGGGAGACTTCTCGGTTTTCGCACTGCTCACAATGGCTTCTACAAGGAGAGGTAGCACATAGTTGGGCAGAGTTAAAAATAAGCAAACAAACAAGTAGACAAATTACAGCATTTTAGAAACAGCAGCTTTTCTTTTCTTTTTTTTTTTTCGTGGTACCAGGGTTTGAACTCGGGGCCTACACCTTGAGCCACTCCACCAGGCCTTTTCTGTGATGGGTTTTTGTGAGATAGATAGGGTCTCAGGAACTATTTGCCTGGGCTGGCTTTGAACCATGATCCTCCTGATCTCTGCTTCCTGAATAGCTAGGATTATAGGTTTGAGCCACCAGTGCCTGGCTCTGAGCAGTTTTTCTAAGGCCATAAATAAACCTATTTGATTCCATGAAGTATATTTTACAAAGTACTTTACAACTGCACTAGTTGGTTGTTTCTTGTGTCAATTCGCTCAGCTATCTCACTATTCCTTGCTCTACTTTACCTACCAGAAATCAGCTCTGGAGGTGTGCATAGTCACAAGCAAAACAGTGGGAAAGTTAAAGGTTATGCTGTATGTGAAAATGACAAAAGGGTCAACCAAATCCAGCAAGGAAGCCAAGGAACTGATTTTTTTTAAGTGAGGAAAAAAGTCTCAGTCACTCCTTCCCCCGACCCTAAAATCCTATGTCTAAACAAATTATGAACAGTATAGTATGAAAGGATCATTCCTTGGTAAAGGAATATCAAATTCTTTCTTGCTGCTTTCCAGTGATACTTACCTAAGTGGGCAATAAACTCCTGAGCAGAGTCGACATACTTCAGGATCTTCTTCAAAAACTTATAGGCAAACCTCTTCTCCATGGAGGAGGCATCCAGCTCCATATCCTTCACACCTCTAGGTTAACATGGGTGAGCCCCAGGAAGAAGCAGAGATAACCATGGGACTGGTGAATCACCCACCCTACCTGTGGTGAACTCAATTTTACAATAATTTCTCAACGGAATTTTCAGAAAGACCTGTATATGTCTTACAATGAATATTGAGCTGGCGGCAAGTCATAGAAAACAAATATCCCTGCCTTGGTGGAACTTACATGGTAGCTGTAAACTAGTATAAATGATGTGGAATGATAGAAGTCAGTATGTTTAAAATCAAACAAACAAAATGGCCAAGGAATGGGGGAGTGAGGGTTTGCAGACTGTGGTATTAAATAGGGTAGTTAGTGCTGATCTCATGACAAACTTCTTCAGGGGAGGAGGAGGACATCTGAGAAAGAACTTCCCAGGCATAGAGACCAGGTAGTGCAAAGGTCCTGAGGCAGGAGCACACACTTGGGGTTGAAGGAATATGGCAGAGAGGTCGGTGTGTGTAGAATGCAAGTGAACAAGCAGTCAGGAGGCAGATGGCAGGCAGTGGGCCAAATCACTCAGTACCTTGCAGACTCTGCTCAGCATTTCACTTTGCGTGAGATGTGAAGCTGCTGGAATTCTGAATAGAGGGGGGTGACATGATGTGACATTATAACGGAATCATTCTGGTTGCTGTGTTTAAAACTGACCATGGGCGGAGGGAGAGTAAGAGGAGGGAGTCTTGGTAGGAGGCCATCTCACAGTGTTGGTGACAGCGACAGTATGAAAGGGGAGAGAAGTGGCAGGTGCTGGTGTATTTTAAAAGTAGAACCATCAGGAATTCCTAAAGGATTTGATGTGGGTTGGGAGAGGAGAGAACAGTCAGGGATTTTGGCTTGAGCAGCTAAAAAATGGGTTGTCATTAGGAACTGGAGAAGGTGAAGACAGAGGAGCTCTGAGGCCAGGCTAGGGGAATCTAGTGTCCTCCTTGGTGACAGAGGCCTCGCTTGGTCATCTGTACATCTGAGTGCCTCCCAGAGGGTCTGGACACATTGGCTGAGTTCAACTACCATTCTCCCCAATTCCCCATTTCCTTTTTAGCTATAGTGAGGGAGAATTCTTCATGTCTGTGAGCAAATAATTTATAAGCAAATCACATAAATCACCTTGTGTTAAGAACAGGATTAAAACAACAGTGGGAGTCTTTTTCAAATGCCTCTGGGAGTCTGTCTCCTGCTGTGTGACCTTTCCTGCTCCACAGTACAGCAGGTAAGTTTTGTAATTTGTTCATGTATGATACAACAGAATATTTGTATAGCTTTTATTTATTTATTGTTTTGACATTCAGTGGTAAAAATTCTATAAGAAACTAAAAGGAGAAACAGCAGCTGACTTGGCAAGTATTTCTTTGAGGAGGAATGGCCAAATTGGAGTAGGGACAACAATCTTTTTCTATTCTATGCAGAATGTGTGGCCCACGACCAGCACTGGATCAGCGAGAAAACAGACTCTACCTTTCAGGTTTAAGTAGTCAAGTCCGTCCTCACAGAAAACACTTAACTTGACAAATTGACTTAGGTCTGCTTGAGGTCTTAGGAAATGGTGATGGTACCATCCTGAGAATCAATTCCCTCTCCTCAAAGACTTTCTGCCAGTTCTGCTTGCTCTTGTTGTTATGTAACTGATAAAATTCCACATACAACCACTAAATAAGAGTGTCAAGAGAGCCACTGACTATGAAAACTAAGCTACATACTTTGCAAAGACCTCTAGCTGCAAATTTCTGAGGGCATAATGTTTTAATTAGGTACAAGTGATACAACTGAAAAAGACAGGAGAGGAGGATAAAAAAATACCTAGTTTACTAAACTTATATTACTTTGCTTATGCCTCAAATTCTTACTGCTGTCTAAAGAAGGCCAAATTCCAAAACTTTGAGGGTGTGTTCTGAATGTGGTTTATAACTCCAGTTGCTAGAACAACACACAGAGAAAAAACCTTGACCTGCAGCACAGTATTTATGAATGTGTGTGAATGCGCACATTTTAACTCTTGTCAAGCCAACCACTGTCCTGCTCCCACCCACGATGTGGCATGGAGAATGACTCACCTAGAGACTAAGATGCCGTTCACTTGGAGGAATTTAAACAGGTCCTGTGCCTTCTCTCGGTCTCTGAACTTCTCCTTGGCAGTCAAGGTGTCATACGGTACCAAGAGAGGATGACTGCCACCACCTGGAGTTGTGAAGTGAGAGATGACAAGATGTCACCTCTTCCTTTGCAGTCCTGGGAGAACATGGCTACTTTGGGTCCCCTTTCTTAAGAGATGCAGTGAAGTAGGCTCACCTTTGGTCTCCAGCTCTGACTTCTTCTTCTTGGCCCAGATGTTGTGATAGTTCTCAGCCACCACCTCCACCATGCCCTGTGACCCACCAAGGAGACACAAGTCAAAGACAGAGCAAGCAAGCAAGAGCTTTCTATGTGCTGGGCTCTTCCAGGCATCCCTGGAAACACGCCAAAGGCTAACGACCTGCATCTGAAGGTCCCCATCATCAATTAGCCCATGCTGTGCACCTCATTAGCTCTATCTCCTTCCCTTGCAGCTTACTGCATTCATGGGACATGCACATTTCCAGCCGAAACTGCACAGAGGTGCTCAGGAGCACACTTCTGACCTGAGTGGGAGTGGGGAGTGAGGGGTCAAGCAAAAGTCCAGGGTCCTGAAGAGCATTCCACTTAAACTAAAGCAATCACATGTTGGTGGAAATTGAGACTTCTTAACGGAATGAACCTCTATTCCACTCAGGCAGCAGTGACCTAGAATGAAGGAGGTACCTTGAAACGAGACTTTCCCTAAGGTCTGAGGGATGAGGGCTCCAGGCTGGGGCATGCCACAGCCATCAATGTGTGCAGAAGGGGAAGAGGAGAAGAAAGCACCTTACAGCTTTTGGTTTCACATTTCTGGGAAATGGAGCACACCTGCTATGGGTTTGCAGGGTGTCCTGAGGGCCTGGGGACTACAAGGACCAGGCAAACACTTCTACCCAGGGACCAAGTTCCACAGATTTCCTCTTTGTGGTTTTATTTTTTGCTGGCTGTTCTTCCTTTTATTAAGTCATCACCCATTATGGCAACCTTGCAGAAGGCATGGCCTCCCCTTCCTGGAGGCTCTCCTCACAGCCTGGCCCTCTTCAGGTTTGGTGTGTTAGTGGTGACGTGTTCTAGGCACTCTTCCCCGCACTTGTCCACATGGGAAGTGTGTGGACAGCAGGCGACGCCAATGTGCAAGCAGAGCACTGACCTGGAGCTCCCTGGAGAGCATGACGTTGGAGAGATCGAGGGGAGCAGGGCTGTAGCTGTTGGCCTAGGACAGTGGGGGCAGAGTCACCAGGTTTGCCATGATTTGCCTTATTCCTATCACACTCCCAGCTTCAGCTGTCAGAGACGTCCCTTCAACCCCACACTGTTCATCAAAGGTGGTCTAACACGATGCCCTGGGAGACCTTGCCTAGATGCCCACAGGTTCTACTAGCCCAGCACTGGCTCCTGGGAGTGGCTGTCATACCTGGGTGGTCTGCGACACACTTCGAAGTTTTTCATTTTCCCGTTGTTGAACCAAAGCTTCTCCTTCTTTGGTCCTCTCCACAGTCCAGCCCACAGCCAGCATAGTTTTCAGAGACTCTCTGGCAGGCCAGCGATAAATTTCCTTCTCCTGGAAGAAGATTTGCACCGAAGACCTTTGCAGCACCCCACTCAGCATTCTGACTGGCCTGTCTTCCAGAAGTTGGATCCCACAGTGGGCAGGGCACTACTTAGCTCCAGCCTCTGACACAGGGTCAAAATGCCACCTGCAGCTTTTGCCTGCAGCATAGGCTTTCTGATGTGTTTGAATGTAAGACCCCAGGCCCACTGTCTCTTGCCTCAGAGGGAATGTACCATCATCCACACTGATGACATCATCTACATTTTATAAATAAAGACAAGCAAGAACAGGAGGGTAATTCCTTGTGTTTCAGTAGCTGTTTAAGATGGGAGACTGACAAGTACATTTGCACAAAGCTCTCCCTTGAGCTTGGAAAAGAGAATTTCTTAGACTTAGAATTCTCTTTTGATCTGTGTTCAATTTCACAGGCGGTCAATATTCATACAAAGACACATGTGCCATCCCTCACAGAGGACACTAGACTTAAAGCTTACAGAGGATGCTTATTAATGGCAGAGTTGAGATGAACTTCTGACTTTATTTAAGAACAAAAACAAAAGCACACACACAGGCAAGAAACCTGTTTGTATTTCTGTGGGGCCTTTCTCTGTGACTCCTATGCTTGGGAAAGGATTTGTCTCAATTTTCTCCAGTAAGTCACTATCCCTTTCCCTATCCTATCCCACAGTCTAACAAAATCCCCTCCAAATTCAGCTGCAGGAGAACTACAAGTGCACTTTGGCCTGGTTGTCAGTGCTGAACACAGCTTTTTCACCAGGTGAGTCTCAAGGCTGAAGAACAGAAAATGAGGCTGGGCTCTGGAAACTGCTCCCAAGGCTGCTGCCCACGGACAAGCTCCAATGCACTTTGCTGAATCCTAGGATATCTTGCACTTGAGAGTGACTGCATCCTGAATACCTCTGGGTGCCTGATATAATTCCCACACAAGGAACCAGATGGCCATGTGGTACCACCAGAGCCTGATTCTCACCTTCTCTGTTAATGTCTTGAAGGGTCTTATCAGTGGGTGGGTCTTCACGTTTTCATCCAAGGAAATTCCATATTTCCATCCACTCTGACTCTGTGGGAATGTTCTCAGTTTAAATATCCTTGGCACTCCAAGACCCCTTCTATATGACCCAAATCCTGCTTCTGTCTTCCTAAGAGGAGTTTGGAAATTCCTAGGAATGTCTACTTGATCCTTCCATGTCAGGCTCTCTGCCCCCCATCCCCAACTCTGTTCCTTTATTGTTTCTTGCTTCACTTGCTGCCCTCTCCACTTTCTCACTTGTATTTCAGGCCCATTTAATGCAGAAGGTCTTTGTAATAATAACAATAGTAACTAATAGCAACATATTCTCTGTTTTTTCACTACTTTAGATTTCCCTTGTCCTTTTCTATCTAAGTTTTTTGAATTGTTTTAGTCCTGTCAGTTTTTATTTTGATTTAATGTAAGCATTTAAAATAAAATGTCATCGATCATCTTACATTTGAATGGACTGAAGCAAAAGGCTGCTTCAGAGGCCTGAGACTGACATGCCTCAGGTCTTGTGTCACACTCCCAGGAAGAACAGAAAAACAGTGAGGAGCACTTGAGGAGTGGCCCTACTACACACTGCATAGAGGGGGCTGTTCGGTTTGCTCCCCTAGTCTGGCAACCCCAGAGCAAAATCATAGCAATTCATACTTCCCAGAATCATGGGAGTTTAAGACCTTTACAAGTCATTAGACAGATACTCACTGGATCCCTTCCATGGTATGTAGAAAGGAATTTGTTGTAGGCACTGTTGATGCAAGGTAAGTAACAGCCCAACCTCCAAAATCTCACAGCCCAAAGATGCTTGGCTTCTCTTTCTCAGCCTCTGCCTCTGCCCATTTGTTAAATGTGCATATTTCACAAATTTCTGTCCCTTTTCAAGAGACACACCCTCCCTGGGTGATCTAATCTAGACCCATGGTTTCAGTTACCACTGGAAATCAGGATTTCCAGACCAGAGGTTTCTCCTAATTTCTGAATCTATGTAAGCTCTGTTTGAAGCTGAGGTGCCTCTCAGCATGCTGAACTAGAACCTGGCAGTGAGGTTTCCGAACATCTCTTCCTCTTGGGTTCTTTGCACATCAGAGAATGGCCCAGGCTACCTTCCCAAGCCAGCAACATGGAAGTTCAGTTGATGCTACATCTCGGCTTTGCTCATATCTCTGCCTCCTAAACCTACTCATTTGTCTGCCTTCCCCTAGAATTGTATCAGCATTTCAGCTTGGGCCACTGTTGGCTCTTGCTTGGATCACTGATAGCTTCCTAAGCAGTCTCTACCTCCAATGTTGTTACTTCTCCATAGACAAACTTTTTGCATGTCTGTCAGGTGATGCTTACAAAATCACCCTGATCAGGGTGCTCTACTGATCAATGATTTTTGGACTACTAGCTGACATCATAGAGAACCCAACTCTTCTACAACATTGAGATGCCTCTCCAGATGCATCTCTTTCTGCTGCCCTACACTACAGTCCAGATATCTGGCTCATTAAGGCCACCCAACTCTCTCTTACCTCTCTGCGTCTGTACCTGCTGACCTAGCAAGGCCTTCCAAGCACCCCTTCCCTGTAATAAACACCCACCTCCTGTACTTTTGCACATGCTGTAAGTGTTGCCAGGCTAGGAAGCATCCCTGGTCCCCCACTATTAAATTAGGGACTCCTGTGCTCTAACCCTGCATTCACAACCATCACGGCACTGAACAACCTCTCCCACCATGGCTGGTTCATTCCATTACTCCCTCAAGAAGAGGGAGAGAGAAAATACACTGTTAATCAGTGTTTCTCCTGATGATGGTGAGAAAAACACGTATCTGATACCAGATTAGACCCTGGTGTCAGAGAGAGAGAGAGATTAATCAAATGACCAATCTAGTAAATATATAACTGATGACTGGGATAAATGTGTGATTGTGTTCTAAATGGAAATATAAGTACCTTGTATTAAATCTGTGATGGAAAAAATAAGGTGCTTAGAGGATGATATCTGAGAAACCTGGGTAAGTGCTATCCTAGGAATTAGTGCTTGGATGATACTTGCAAGATTGGCTGGTAGACAGCCTGGGCTTTGTATACCTGGCTCAGCCAGAGGAGGGTTTCAGGTGTATGTAGCACGTGTGAGACAGAAGGTCTAATAGACATCACTGGTGGGCAGAGGGTGGCAAGAGAGGTAAAGAAAGAGGTGGTATCAGAAGTCAGATCAGGCAGTGTCTACCAGACCACATTAAGGATTTTGATCTTGATGTTAAGAAGGAGTAGAAGCTGCTAAAGGATTTTAATAAGGAGAAGGAGGTCAGGAGGAGCCAAATGTGCATTTGAGACTATCACTCCATCCAGTATGAAGAAAAGACTGCAGAAAAAACACATGAGAGACCAGTCAGAGGTCGTCTCATCACAATGTTCTAGATGAAAGATGAGGGCAGCTTGGACTGAAGTCACAGCATGGGGACAGAGATAACCACACATTCCAGAGAGAGAGTTGGGAGGTAAGAGCCACACAATACAGTGAAGGATTAGATATTGCTATAGATTGTAAAAGATTCCTGAAAAACACAAAAGACCTTGCTCCAGAGCAGGGGTTCAGTAAACTATAGTCCTTGGGCCAAATCCAGCTGGCACCTGTTTTTTTTCCTCAGTAAAGTTTTGGAACTCTTCATAAGTAAAGTTTTTATTGGGCTCCTTCTTTTGTTTGTTTTGTCTATGGCGACTTTTGTGCTACAATAGAAATGAGCAGTTGCTCATTTCTTTATAGGTTGTCTGGCCTATAAAGCCTCAGACATTTATTACCTGGCTCTTTACTGAAAAGGTTTGTCAATCCCTGTTCTAGAATCACAAGGTACTAGCCTGCCCTACAGTTAGGAGCTTGCTGTTATCATCAGTCCCCACAGGAACTCATGAGAAGATAAGAGTGGAGCACAGATCCACATAAGTCGAGCTATTGTTCAAGGAGCTCCCTATCTGGGGGTGTCCTGCATGGAGATGGTTTTCTGGGGTCTTGCTTTGGGGATGGATCCACTGTTAAAAGGTGTATGCTGCAGCTAAGCAGGGGCCCCAGTCCTTAACTGGCCATCCACAGAAATCCTGGCTGACTCTGGCAGAGTCTTCCCACTTTGCCTGCCAGCATTAAAGGGCTAACATAGCAATTAAATTTATTAAGCAGCCTGACCTCATGTGGTGAGGAATTTTAATCACCAGATGGACAGGCTGATTGATCAGGGAGTGTCCGGAAGTTCTAAAGGGTCTTATCCTAGGAAGAGCCTTGTGGAGCTCTCCCAAATAAAGCTTAGCTTTCTAGCAAGATGCGAGAGCAAACCTTTCAATTTCATCTTCTCCCTTTTCAAAGAGAAATGGACTGCCTTTCACCCTCAGTAAGCATTTATGTTAAACACACATGCATGTGTTTGAGTACACGCTCCAGGAAATGTATTGTGAAGAAGAAAAAATACTTCCAGAATTGTTCACTTTCTTGAGAAATATAAAAGCAGCACCAGCAGCTACTGCTATCTATTTCTCTGACCTCCACCAGTCCTGGGAAACTGCTTCCCAGAAATAATGAATGCTCCTGGCATGGCAAGTCTGTCACTTAGACAAACTGGGCAGATATCCAGGACTGGCCCCTTAATGTTCTTGGCTGTTTCTCTCCCTGACAGTGGTCATTTGTGTGATAATCCCTACCTTGTCACAGGCCCATTTATCGTGGGAATGCTCAGCATACTTGGTGACGATGTATTCCAATTTTTCAGGCAAGGAAAAACTGTGAAGTGAAGAAAAAAAATTACTATCTCCCCAGCATGTTAGCCAGGCATGGTGGAAGATGGGGTGAAGTAGCCATTGGATGTTAGAAGTTGGATTTGATAACGACCTAACCTCAAAGCTGAAGCTACTCTAGACAGTGACACAGAGACAGAGCAGGAGTAGCACTGTCAGGACTGTGTTGCAGACACACATCTGTTTCTGACCCCAGATGCCAGCTGCCTCACTCCAGCTGCTTTGGGTTCTCCTGTTTCTGGATTCAGTAACTTATTATTATTAGAATTTTGGAACTAATAGTCAGCACTTGTTTCTGTTTGCCTGGCAGCTCTGGCCCCTCCTGCTGGTGACAGCACCCCATTTCCCTTCCAATCACACAGTCTTCTGGTATTGCACGCATGTGACAAGGAAAATCACACTTATTCTCCTGGATCCCAAGTTCTTCAGTTGGGTGAAACAAGGCAGCAGGCTCTTCAAAGTGACTCACTCAAGGGGACAAGTGAAGAGTGCCATCTGGTCACTGTGCCTTGGTGCTAGTCTGTGCTGAAGCCTTTCACTAGATTCTGTTGGATCCTGGGAACGTGGTCCTTTTCTCCTTAGGTTAGCCAGAGTCAGCCCCAATTCCTCTCATTACTCAAAGAATTGTACTGATGTCAAAGTGTATGTGAAAGAACAAGAACTCTCACCTGTCATTAGCACAGTTTCTAGAGACTTGTGTCTTGTTACCACTGTCTTATGTTTGTAAGACATCTGAGTCATTACACCATTTACTCTAGCATCCTTTGGCATGCTTTGTTTTATAGGGCAAAGTTCTCCAGAGCCAGTAGCTGTCTTCTTTTTGAGCCCAGCCTTTTTGCCACATCCTCTACCTCTTCCTTGCTGCAGGGTTCATTCTGTTTCCCACTGTCCCCTACCTCAAGGCTCTGTCCAATGGAATGTGCACTTAATTGTCCTAAAGATGAATTTCATGCACTGTCAAAGCTGACTGTCTCCCCACTCCAAAAGGGTTCAGGCTCTCATTTGAGAAAGATCATCACCAAACACAAGCCCAAGAGGCTCATGTGGGATCAGTCTTTCTTCTCAGAGCCCTCTGAAGCAGATGTGAAGCTCTTTATTCAATATATACATGGAGATCAAGACAGTACGACCCATGTCACACATTTGTAACAGAGGGTGGGGGAGAAATGCCACAAACCAAAATGAGCAACATTTTGTCCAAAAGATAAACATACCCCTGTGGCCTAATAAATACTGGTGAGGAATTATGGGTCATTACAGGGAGAGATTAAAAGGTGCTATTGTAGAGTGACTCCAAAGTTTTACATTCCTTGGTATGGCAAAGAGCAAATCTCTCAAGTGAAAACCCCAACTGTTCTGCCATCACACCCAAGGCCTTCCAGAGCTCAGTGGAGCATTTATTTATGGAGTTCTTTTGATGTGTGGCACTATTAGATCTGTAAAGGCCTAATTCACAAAGCACAAAGATTTTGTCAAAAACCCCATTAATAAACTAGCTGCATCATTTGTCAGGGTGGTTGTGCCTTAGACGGCATTTATTTATGGGTACATCCGTCTCTTATATTAAACCTAGCCTATTCTCCTCAAAATGCCCAGAAATAAATTATACTGTATATAATCAGACACGGATGGATTAATCCCTGTGCCAGGCATGACTTGCAGTGTTCAGAGAGATGATGGACAGGGTTGGCAGGAGGAAAGGGGGGTGCTGGAATTCTTGCTATGTTTCAAAGGAAAGACAGACACTGGCTACTGGACAACATATCTGTCACCTTAGAGAGGATTTTGGACTCACTTCATCGTGTTGATAGGTTTGGGGTCGAAGTTGCCATCTGCGTCCACGGAGACCTGCTTTTCCAGCGTGGCCGTGATTCTGGTGTCGAGGTAATCCGGTGGCAAGGCCCCAGCAATGGCGCTGAGACAAGGCAGGGCCATTCGGAAGAGATCCGGGTCGTATCTCTGGGAGGCAAACAGACCACCTTAGCAGAGAAACCAAAACCACGGCCGCAGGCAGGATATCAGGACAAAGTGCGTGCATTTTGCCAGGCTGACAAAGATTGGGGAAATTTAACCCCTTCAGGGCTGGCCTCAGACCTCAATCCTCCTAATCTCTGCCTCCAGAGTTGCTGGGATTATAGATGTGAGCCACCATACCCTGCCCTAAGTTGAAAAAGATTTAAATTAGTGTCTTACCAAATAGTTAACTTCAAGACTATCTAAGGGTTAACATGGTTCCCTCTGGGCCAGAAAGTCTATAACCTGACCCCAGTAATGGTCAGAGAGGGCACGGCAAGCTCTGCCAGCTTCACAGTAGCTGACTGGGTCATGCATGGCCATCACCAGACTTCTCAGCATCTCATCTACTTTCTCCTGATCCCAATCAGGAGTTCCAAACAGCTTTTGATCTGTTTATGTCAAAGCATCCAGGAGGAAAGAAAGTTTAAGTGCAGGTCAGCAGGCCACACACACAGTCCCGACTTCTCTGAGGAAACCAGGCCTGCTCATTTTCCACCTTTCAAGCTGGTGACCTCACAGATCTAACTGTGCTGGGAGTCACAGCCCCATTTCAATCAGCATCCTATAAAGCTTGGGGGGTCACCAGCCCTGCACTCCACTCCACCTCCTCTTCAAACATGTCTGTGAACCCCGGTCCCCCAACCCCAGTGACTTCCAGATTGAATGCCCCATGGCCAACATCACAGCAGGTGTCAGGACTTCTCCTCCTGCATTGAGCCCAACGAAGGCTCAACAGCAGCCATGCCAAGTCAGAGGGTACAGGCAGGGAGGTAAGTCATCAGACCCAGAGCCAGGGAAGATTTTGTAACTGACTCTGGTGGCTGCTGCTGGCATACTGGCTTTGTCAGTGTGCCAAGTTACTTGTTCCTCTGAGCCTTTTCTCTACCTGCAAAGGGAATTATGGTACCTTCTATTTCAGAGAGTTGGGAGAAGGAATAGTGTAGAATGCTTGTGAATGACTTAGCATGGTCCTGAGTGTGTGATGAAGCTGAACAGGTGTTAGGCATTCTATTCCTAAGTGCAAGCACTGTCTTACCTTGTGGGAGAGGGAGTCAAAGACCCCCCAGAAGAGCTTCTCCGTGAGGTGCAGCTCCTCCTCCACAGCCAGCCCGTAGCTCCCCCATCCCGAAGGCAGACAGTAATACTTCCAGCATTGCTCATAGTGATTCGTCAGCAGCTGGGGGTACAGAGCAGGATTGTACCAGTGGGGTGGGTGGAGCATGTCCACAGGCATCAAGAACATGCAGGGAAAATAAAACAGTGCAGAGGGCTCGTGAGAATGAAACCTGCACTTCAGACATCGGGTTGTTAGCAAAGAGCCCTCAGGTCCCACCGAAGGGTCTGCTCTTAGGACTAATGAACTCCAGTCCGAGATGAATCTGCCTGATTAATCCTCATGCCTCCTGATGAGGTCTCAGTGGATGCTAGAAAAGGGAACCATTCCTCTTTCCCTTCGGAAAGTTGTCACCGCATGCTGTTCTAACTGTCAGCTGCAGAAAGAATTCCTCCCGAGACCTTTGCCTGTAATTCTGGAAGATCCTGGGGTGTTGAAATGGGGAGGGGCAGAGGGCAGCAAGCTTGGGTCTCCATATTTACTACTGATTGTCGCTAGCTTCCTAGCCTCGCTCTAGCCCTCTTAGGGTTCAGTGATGTGACAGCAGTTCCACATTCAGCCAGCAGAGGCAAAAAGTACATGGTTATATCATCTTCCCAGTAGATGGGATCCACATCCTCTAAGAAAAATCCCAGCGATGTGAGAGAAAAAAGTGAGTTTATTGAGTGGTATCAGCAATGCCTCCTAGGAGCCAGCATGTGGCTGATGACAGAGGCCTGACAGGAAACAATGGCTTTTCAACTAAAACGTTCTAAGATGAAAACTGGGACTGTGATGGTTACAGAGCATAGAGCCCTGGGAGAACCAGAATCGCTGAGGTATTACAAACTGCTCTCTGCTTGGCAGGGGATGAAGTGCAGGCTGCTGGGAACTCGGGTCACCCCAGCAAAATGCTTCCTTAAGTCATTGCCTGGGTTATTTCTGAAAAGAAGGAAAAGTTCTGGGACGATTGTTAGGGAGGACTTTCGGGTGTGCTAGTGTCTGGCAACACTTTTGGGAACCTAAGTATGGCAGAACATCAGAGGCAAAGGGAAAACATTGCCCTCCCTGGTGGGCGGCTGATTCTGGCGCCACCCAGGCCCAGGTGCTGCAAGGCTGTGATAAACCAGGAATGAGATAACAAATCAAAAGACAGCTCTGTGCTCTTTTAATTAATAAACAGAAAAAAGAAAACAGAAAGAGCATCTGTTGCAAAGAAGGAAAAGCAAAAAAAAAAAATGTGAAAAAGGGACTTTTTGGTCCCTTGAATAATAACTCACAGGGCTTTCAAAGCTTTTTGGGGTTAAAAATATTCTGAAAACCCAATTATGGCAGGAAAGTGCAGAACCAAAGCCTTCTTGCAAACCTCTGCTAAAAATTAAGGAGCCTAATGGAAAGAAATTAAAGAAAACTGAAGCTGTTGACATAACCAGTGTACTTCATGACTCGATATTGAAGAAAGGCTTTGGTTCTGGGGATTGCATATTGTTAGTTAATTATCAACTTAAAGGAGGAGGATCCCCTTAGTGTGTTTCTTGTTCCTCAAATTGTGAAGCCGTCAGCCATACAGACACGTTTCCTATATGGGGGCTGTGCTTCTGGACAACACCCTTACCTTCAAAGGCATTTTGCAGTATTCACTGAGCTGTGGCACGTCAAAAACCAGTCTTCGCAGGAGCTGCTGTAGCATGGAAGGCCTCAGGTGACTGCAGCACAGAGGGAACAAAAGAAAACAAGTAAGTAAACAAAGAACAGAGGACAAAAGGAGCATGCACCATGGCTGGACCTCCAAACAATTAGCTCCTAAACCCAGGATCTTGGACAGATGGCAGTGATGGCATGGTTAAAATTCAGAAAAGGGGACATACACTAATGATTTGGGATACCAAAGGTTAAATTCCAATCACTGTGCGACAGAATGTTCTCAGGTCTGTGCGTACTTAAAATACAATCAGTGGTTATGTGCAAAGAATGTAATCGAAAGAAGGCGCAGCTAATTTCACAGCTGTCTTTCTCTAAGGACCCAGGATTCCTGTAAATTCTGTAAAGGGGGAAGAGAGGTTGACCTGCTGCATAGATGGGACGTGAGCCCACCTAGTGGTGACATGTGAAGGGAACTTGAAAGCCCTCCAGGCTACAGTCTGATCCAGATCCAGGGAATTCTCACTATTGGAAATATTTCTTTGGGTCTCACTAGGCTTTATTTTCAAAACAATTTCTTAAAAGGCAAACAGTAATTAATTAAAGAATAATTTAGCAAATTACAGTTTTGTAGCTATGGTATTTGGTGCAAGTAAATTCTAAGATAGAGAAAAGAGAGATAACCCAAATTGATTAGCTTTTATTTTTAGGTTTCCAATCCTTTAAAAACCCATTGGAACCCACAGATTTTCTCCAGAGAAATGTAAACAAACACACACAAAATTTGCTACATTAAGTTCAGTTCAAGGGAGGGCTTAGTGCTTGCTTAGTAAGTATGAGGCCCTGAGTTCAAACCCATGTATCACCAAAAGTGTTTAAGTTCAGTTCACAGATCTCTGAACTCCTCCTACAGATGCTTAAGCTGCTGCAGAGATAAGACCAACAATTATGATGATAAGGAACAATGCCAGAGGAGAAATCCTTGAACATCTACAAGGGGGATGAATGGAGCGATGCAGAAGGAAAACAAACTTTCTCCTGGAGTGGGCCTGTAAGAGCCCTGGGCTGAGAAAAGCTCTGTCTCTGGATCTGGTAAAGATGACTCAATGGTTCACATTATTGCTGAGATAATCACCAATTATCACCGAAGACACACTTGAATAAAGTCAAGGAGTGCAATAAATCTGTAACTCCCCCAATTGCTGCTTATTAAAAATAAGCAGGGAAAAGTCTAATTAAGTACAGTTTGCCTGTTACAGCTGGATCTCAGGTAGGAAGAAGAGGAGAGTAATGGAACTGTGAGCTCTATTTTTGGTTCAATATAAATAAACTTCCAATTTCCCCAAAGTCTGCTTCTCCCCACCCCAACCCAATATCTGCATCTTGGATTAGAAGCATCAAGACAACTTTGTTATTAGGACACAGCTTATATTGGGAAGCAGGGCTCCTGGCTGATATGGCTCCTAATGCATGTGATGGGTTCAGATCTAGAAAAAGGTAGAACAAGATCAATCACTGCTTTTGCTGCCATCACCAGCAGAATACAGAGCTGATGCTGACAGGGAGGATTTCTTCCTGGGTAAATTCGCTCATTTCCTTTGCCACCACTGAGAAGAAATGTAGAGGCCCATGTAACCGAGTAATGTGGCAAGTACTCTTCTTTTTTTTTTAAATTGTTTTATTATTCAAATGTGCATATAATGCTTGGGTCATTTCTCCCCCCTGCCCCCACCCTCTCCCTCACCACCCACTCTGCCCTCTCCCTCTCCCCTTCCATCCCCTCAATACCCAGCAGAAACTATTTTGTCCTTATCTCTAATTTTGTTGAAGAGAGAGTATAAGCAATAATAGGAAGGAACAAGGGTTTTGCTAGTTGAGATAAGGATAGCTATACAGGGAGTTGACTCACATTAATTTCCTGTATGTGTGTGTTACCTTCTAGGTTAATTCTTTTTGATCTAACCTTTTCTCTGGTTCCTGGTCCCCTTTTCCTATTGGCCTCAGTTGCTTTTAAGGTATCTGCTTTAGTTTCTCTGCGTTAAGGGCAACAAATGCTAGCTAATTTTTTAGGTGTCTTACCTATTCTCACACCTCCCTTATGTGCTCTCACTTTTATCATGTGCTCAAAGTCCAATCCCCTTGTTGTGTTTGCCCTTGATCTAATGTCCGCATATGAGGGAGAACATATGATTTTTGGTCTTTTGGGCCAGGCTAACCTCACTCAGAATGATGTTCTCCAATTCCATCCATTTACCAGTGAATGACAACATTTCGTTCTTCTTCATGGCTGCATAAAATTCCATTGTGTATAGATACCACATTTTCTTGATCCATTCGTCAGTGGTGGGGCATCTTGGCTGTTTCCATAACTTGGCTATTGTGAATAGTGCTGCAATAAACATGGGTGTGCAGGTGCCTCTGGAGTAACCTGTGTCACAGTCTTTTGGGTATATCCCCAAGAGTGGTATTGCTGGATCAAATGGTAGATCAATGTTTAGCTTTTTAAGTAGCCTCCAAATTTTTTTCCAGAGTGGTTGTAGGCAAGTACTCTTCTTATTGAAGTGGGAAACTTGAAGACCTGGAAACCCTGTGTTTCCTAGAGGTTTATCAGTCTGTCTAACCAAGCTTTGTCTTTCTTTCAAGACCAAAACCATTCTGTTTAACTTAGTTCTGTATAGGTGTTTCAATTATCTTGGAATAAATAAAGTAGTCAGAGTATAGCCCGTGATCTTGGAAGGGGATCTCAGGAAGAACCCTTGTGCCCGTTGAGGCTTGGGCCAAAATCCCCTTTCTACTCCACTCCACTCCACACCCTGGGTGAACAGCACCATCAGTGAAGCTGGTGGGCTTTAAAAAGGTGCAAAGACAGAGGATATTGACTAGTTTTAATAAAGCATCTTAAATGTTTTATTTAAAAAGATAAGTGAGACTGCCCTTACATTTTTTTAAAATTTAGTTTTGGGAAATTGTAGACTGGTAGAAACACTAAGAGAAAGGCATAGTGAGTTCTCCCTGGCCCCCAAGTCCCAACACGCACAGTTTCCTCACTATCAAACTCCCCCACCGGGTGGTACCTTTGTTACAATTGGTGGACCTACAATGACAGGTCACTGTCATCTGAGTCTGAGTCTACCATGGGATTTACTCTTGGTGTTGGATAGTCTATGGTCTGGACAAATGTGTAATGGTAATGTCTACTATCATAATATGATCCAGGACCTTTTCACTGCCCTAAAACCCTCAGGCTTTGTGTACTCATCACCCCTTCCTATAACCTCTAGCAACTACGGATCTTTTTACTATCTTAAAACTATGGGTTTTTTTTCCCCCTCCAAAATGCCATACAGTTGGAATCTTACAGTATCGATCTTTTCAGATTGGCTTCTCTTACTTAGTAATATGCACCTAATGTCCCTTCATGTCTTTCCATGGCTTGATAGCTTATTTCTTTAGCAGTAAATAATATTCCATTGCCTAGATGTGCCACAGTTCACCCATTCACTCACTGAAGAACATCTTGTTTGCTTCCAAATTTTGCTAATTATGAATAAAACTGCTATAAATATCCAATTGAAAGTTTCTATATGACCTAAGTTTTTAGCTCCTTAGGATAAATACCAATGAGCATGCGAACTGAAGTATATGGCAAAAGAATGTTTAGTTTTGTAAGATGCTGCCAAGCTGTCTTCCATAGTGGCTGTGCCATTTGTATTCCCATTAACAACGAATCTAACTTCACTAACGTCTGTGTTGTCAGAATTGGGCTGCTGTAACATGTGTCATGATATCTCACTGCTGAGACTTCCTTTTAATTGGTGTTCTAAAATGACTGACGACTTTCCTTCTAGGTAGCCTTAGTCCCTAATGCAGTTATCTCTTATGTGACTAGGAAATGACTCATTCAAAGACCAGCACCAAAGAATCAGGACCAAACCCAGATGGCTCTGAGGAGGAAGCCAGTTGTTCTGTCTGGGACAACACAAGCAGCAATTCTCCATCTCAGCTGCATATTGGAATCACTTGGGGAGCTCCAAAAGCTAGAATCCTGGATTATACCCCTGAGGATTTTGGGGCTGGAGTGTGGCCTGGGCATGGGGATATCACCTAGGTGCTCACTAGGTAACAGTAACATGCAGTCCAGGAGGAAAATCTCTGGCTTTAACAGCAGATTATGGTTGTAGACCATGGCGCTGAGCTTAGCCACTGAAAGGGCTCCTGTCCTCTGATCCTATCAGAACTGATGCAAATTCCTGAGAGCCCCAAGCTCGTCATTCTTGGTTGACTCTAATGCCCATTGGCAGTGCTTAAAAACTATTGCCCTTAATTCCCCAATGTGACTGGAGATTCTTTTCTTTTCTCAAAGTCTTGCAAAGACTTAGGGGTGGATTGCTTCAATTCACACTGAGAGTTTGGTCTCTGCAAAAGTTCTCTCTTAGAGGGTAGAAAAATCCATGTTATGAACTAAACAGTTAGTTCACAATCTGTACACTGTGGTCTAAAAGATGGTCTTCTTTCCTGGTCTGCCACCCCTACGGCTGGTTACATCCTGAGCTATCATCCTCTTTCTCACAGTGAGAGAGGAGCCTCAAGGAAGCATCTGTACCAAGCACATCCTAAGAGGAGATGTTTTGGGGGAGGGGTGGTATATGGCATAGGCCTGGAGCTTCATTTTCTGTATTACCAATGTTTAATGACACAACTAAGGGCACAAGCATGGATACAGACCTGGGAGTGAGAGACACAGGAAGGGCACTTACGTGCAAATAGCAAGCAAACATTCTTCTATGGTGTCCCTCTGTGCTTTGGTGAGGGAACGTCCCTTGGAAAGCCTGTATATCGTCTGCAGCGTGGAGTCCATCAGAGAGGTGTAGTGTTCTGTCCCAGCAAAGAGAGGGGCACACCTTGTGAGGAGTGGGAGCACAGAAGAGCATATGTACCTGTTCAGAGCCAGTGCAGCCTCTGTGGTGCTGAGGGCCACCTAGGAGAGGACCAGGATGCTGGTCAGTTTCTCAGGACACAGCACAGTTCACCCTGAGCACTGAACTCCCATGCTGCTGATCCCAGAAACTTACACGTGCCCCTTCCTCATGGCCATAGAGCCAATGACATGCTACCTGCTCCACTTTCATTGTGCATTTTCAGTGGAATAAAAAAGGTTAAAAGAAAACAGAAAAAAGCAAACAGCAAGAGATGGCTGGATCCCAAATGATCCTAGGAACATGTTTCCCTCACAGAAGATTTTAAACCCTTATTAATACCAGCTTATGGCCAGTTTACCCCAACATCTTTGATACTTGCAAATCCAGCTCCCTGGCTTCAGCTCTTTTCTCACCTTATGGGCACTCACACATTGTCCTCTTGGGATTTTATCATTAAGAAATAGTTGTAGGCCAAAAATCCCTCAAACTTACCAGTTTGGTTACAGCTTTACAAAGAGAAAGTGGAGCTGTGACCCCCATCAATTAATTTATATGCATTGTGGAGCAGTTAACAGCCTGGTAAATGACAGCATAGCAGACCTCACTATGGGGAACCCAACTCTGTATCGGGAGCAGGGTGAAAATGAACAGAAATCTAGGGCCTTCTCTGAAACCTTGGCACAACTGTTGCTCACAGTGCTCTCTTTTGTTCACTTAGATGGATGGGCTGAATTCAAGCCAAAGTGAGCTTAACTACCACCTTTGAAAACTGCAGAACTTCAAAAGAAGGCTTGAAATCCACAGAGAGAAAATGTTATCATTATTTCCCGAGATTATCATGGCCATTGTGTCTGTGACACATTTTCTGTCACTTATGATTTGAGAAGCTGTTTTCTTTTAACTGTACCCATTTCTGGGTGTTCCTGTTAATTACTGAAAGTTGTCTTCTAGACGTTAGTAATCATGCCTGAAGAACAGCTCTCCTTTCATGTTTATCGCAGTCATGGGCTGAGCAGTTAAGGGGAAGAAGGCAGAGCTTTGGTTCGAATGTCTACAAGTTTCCAAATGAAAATGTATGAATGTCAGGAGCTGAGGAACTGAATGCAAACCCTTTTTGTTGCAGCTGGGGCTTGGGCAAGTGTGTGGCCACTGAATTCCAGATGCTTGAACAGTATTTGTTGCTTACTTGACCTATACAAAATCTAAACACTTTAATCAGTTCAAAAATTATTTTTAAAATCTAGAGATTTACAGTAAAGCTCAAAACACAAACAGCAGTAGATGTGCTGTTTTAAATATGAAGGGCTCGTATGCTCCAACACCTTTATGGTGATTCCAGGTCCAATCTCCAAGCCACAGACAGTTCTTCACTCCTGCATGAAGCGTCCATTAAGGATGGGCTCCTGTGGCTTTCTGTTCTTGGGTGGCCCACTCAAATGGAGTTCACCACAGTCAAGGCACTGGCTCCCACCCACCACAGGGCTCATACTTCTCTCTCTGTTGGACACCAGGTGGAGCCCTTGAGAACCCTTATAACTAACTCTAGAGCCGGGACTCAGGTCAGATGTATCTTAGAACTAAGATGACCTAGCTTGTCTTTTCTCCTAGGATCCGGGACTCCTGGCACTGCTGTTCTGTTTAGTCTTGAAGTGTGGCTGCTGCCATCTGTGCTCAAACTCCTGGACTTCTGTGGTGAGGTCTGTTGATGCTGGATTACTTTACCCCAGCCAGGTTCCAAGCATGCAATTTTCCCTTGGCCTCTTCTACTGACCTTAGTCACACCACTGGCCATATATACCTAGAGGCATGTTCTCCCCAGAGAATGATTCTGCCTCCCAGGGACACTGCTAATATCAGGAATTGGTTTGGACAGCAGTTTGGGGAACAGGGTTTGGGGTACTGGTATCTAGTGGGTAGATGCCAGGGCTACTGCTAAATATTCAACAGGGAACAGGACAGCCCCTCACAAGAAACAGTGCCAGAGTTGAGAAACTCTGAAATTGAGGGGAGTGAATGGAATGTGTGAGGTCAAATTTATCTATCTTTAGATAAATAAGTAAGATCTTCCAGTTCCTGTACTTCTGTTTTTCTCATCCTTCAAAGCAGGGTATAGAAAATGTTTGCTTCTGAGTCCTTTGTTGCTAACTTTACAATGAGGGGAACATTTTTTTCTTACGTTAGTAACTTACTGTATCTAGAGAGGCAGAGGCTCTTAAGTCAGGTAAAAACCCAACCTCTAGCAAGTGCAGCAGAAAAGCTTGGTCCTTAATGCCATAAACGCGGTCCAGAAACAGCACCATGGGTGCCTTGTGGTCAGGGCAGAAGTTGGCTGCCATGTCTGGCTCGCTGACTGAACCATCTGAAAGACAGAGAACATCATTTCCCTTTTCCATCTATGGTTTCAAAAGGCACTGCAGAACTCTCTGTCTATGGCGTGTTCTAATAAGCCATAGGAATTTTGGACATAATGATAATGTTGACTGGCGTCACCTTATACTGGGTTGAGAGAGCCAATTGTTAAAATTCCAGGGTTTTATGGCCAGTTATTTAACATGTCCATTGTTAAAAATTTTGAGTTACAATTAGGTAAATTATATTTTAAAAAGGTAAGCAATGCTCTAATTCTTTCATTGTGACCTATACTCTTGGGATTATTTGTGTCTGTTGTATTTACTATGGGAAGTAAAACATGATGCTGTGCTGTGTTCATTCTCTTCCTAACTCCATCCCATGGATAGCATGAAGGCAGCCACAGTGAGAAGATTTACACTATAGAAATAGGCAAATGCTAGAAATTAGGGCTGGACATAAGAAAGTGTGGAATAAGCTGAGGTTGGTGGCACACCCTGTAGTCCTAGCACTTGGGAGTCTTCAGGCAGAAAGATCTCAAATTTGAGGCCAGCTTGGGCTGCATAGCAAGCTCCAGGCCAGTCTGGGCTATGAGACCATGTCTCTAACTATGTAAATAAATAAATAAATTTAAAAGTGAGAGATAAAATGTTAATAAAGGCAGACAGAATTTAATAGTATGTCATATTAATAACCCTTATGCCATAAATAGCACACACAAAAAAGGAAATTTTCTTTTAGTGTTTGGGAACAATGAGCTGATTTAGGTGATACTTAGATTGTCTAAGAATTCTTGTCTTATTTTAATAGAGGTTCAAAGACAAAGAGAGGAATCTCAAGGAGAAAATAAAAACCCTCTGATCTGGAGAATAAAGACAGGATTTTTGAGAGGATTTAAAAAAGCCTTATTTCTCTTGCTTTGTTTGCATGAAAGCTAGAAGAGAGTCCAAATGGCTCAGTACAGTCACAGCAATGAAAATACCACAGTGGGAAGGCAGGGGGGCTTCACAAGGCCCCTGAGAGGCACGGAGGTCAAGTGCTGTCCAGCCCAGAGCCTCCTCCTGCCCAGGAGTCCATGTGGGGTAGGGGGCAGGTGGCAGGGAGCAGCTGTATAACTTTCCTGCCCTCACCACCGGGCAGAGCTGGACCTGAATAGTGGGGGCTGACCTGACCTCTCACACAGGTTTGGTGTTTTGAGGCACATTATTTTTGTGGGACATTAACAAGTGTTTTGTGCTCAAAACAGAGCAAGTGTTTGGTCAACGCTGACTTCTGCATCTGTTTTCTTTCAGTTTTCAGAGATGCTGGCATCTTACTGAGCTTCATAAAGTTATAAAAGTGTCACAAGTTCTTTAGCATTTTCCAAACTTATTTGACTTCTATTAATATCTCCTAAAAGAGTCAATGGAGCATCATTTTGGAAAATACTGCTAATGGAATCATGTAGTCTTTTCCATTCCTCTGTGTACCTGGAACACAGGTGGAGTGACTGAGAATCTAAACACTTTTGGAAGAGTTTTTGCAATGATGACCGATGTCAACTGTCACATGTGGCATTTAGGGAAATGCTTTATGATTCTAGTTGTGAGGTGTTCAGGACTGTGGCAGAGACAGCCACAGTCTGTCTGTCTGTTGCCTGGTTGCCTAACCACCCTGGCTGCATGGGAAGGAAGACTGTGGGAGAGCTTTTATTCCATCAACCTTCTTCAGGGGTTAGAGCCTTCATAGGACAGTGAGGTCTATCTGTCCCCACGGGACATAGATTTGATCATCTCGACACAGGGAAGCAGAAGAGAGAGAGAGTAGCCATCTGGATCTTAGAGGAAACTCATCACTCCCAAAAGGGGGAAAAAAAGAGCATTTTCCTGGGCAGCCTGCAGCATAGGTGCGGGGCAGACGGGAAGCAGGGTCCTGCTGGGCAAGGACTGACAGATGCAGCCTGCAGTAGCTCCCCTACCTTTGTTCAGGGAGGGGAGTTTCAGGGGGATGCTGATGATTCCAACCAGGTCCTCTGTGGGGACCAGGGAACGGAGGATGGACCGAGTCCGGATGGCCTCCCCTTTTCCTGTCTTGATGAGCTGTCATGTAGAAGAGAGAAGACAGGTGACGTTCTCACACCCCACTCCACCCCACCTCCAAGCCTCTGGCAGTAAAGTGCTTTTCTTTAACAAAAGGGGTACAATTTTGTGTCCCCCTAATTGCCACAGACACTTATGGCCACAAGGAACCAGATGCTTTCTCTTGATTTTCTAGAAGATGGGCTACTGAGGGAGTAACTCTGCTGACAGAGGCCATGTGATTGCTTTGCCTCAGATGAACTGGTCATGCCTTAAGGCCTCGGATCTAAGCAGTGGCTTCCCCCTGTGACTGCTCTTCCACAGCTCCCACGAGCATAAAAGAAGCACTGACAACACGGCCACAGTACCAGACTAGAATTCTAGCAAATGTGAAAATGACCTGTGAATGTCAGTTTCCTGAGAGTTTGACTAAAGCTAGGGCTGGAGAGCAGTGGACAAGAAGGGCAGAGAAAGTCAGATGGAGTCTGAGTCAGGGTGGGTGGACAGATCCCTGCTTACACTAATGGGCTCTGTGGCATTCACAAAGGAGCACACACTCCTGCTTGTGTGGTCTCTGAAGAGGGCCCTGGGTCCTCTGAACTCTCAGAAGCTCAGAATTGGATCTACCCTAGATGGGCTGATGATATGCTAGGACATGAAAGGGGAAGGGAAAGAACACGCTTTTTAGTTCAAAACTGGGAGTCTGAGAAGACATACCGTCCTTGTGTGTATGTCAGAAAAACACTACCTCTCTGAAACAATTAGACATGAACTCTGGAAGACACTGCTTTCCTGGGACCCAAAGCCACAGTCATCAGGAAAAGAGGGTTTTCCACATGGAGTGTTCTTACAAAACTCATGAGGCCACTCATGATGACCACGGTCAAGGATCAGGCAGGTCACATTATGACCAAACTGAAGCACATGGAAACATAATTTTGGGAGGCTTTTGAAAGAAAATGTGTAGCCATATGCCCGACTATTGCCACAGCAAAACCACAAGAAGATCCACCAGGAGTCTTCCTTAGAAAGATGCATAGTCAGATATTAGACATGGAAACTACTCTGATGCTAGTTAAAGGGGGCCCACAGAAAGGCGTGGTAGCAAATGCCAGACATAGAGAAACCATGTTAAGACATGTATGGAGCGCTCAGTCAGGCTTCTCAAAGCTGCTCTTTGTGAACTCCGTCACTCACATGCATTTCAGGAGCACAGCGGCCGAGGAGATCGATAAGAGCGGAGTAAAATGACATAATTGCACTGCCCATATGCACGACCTCTTCCTCCTCTTCACCATCCTCTGTGCTGCAGAGACAGGGTTAACACAGCAAGGTGAGAGACAAGGCGCTGCCGAGGAAGGAATGCTCACTCTGCTTTCCTTGACCATCATACAGGCTTTCCTTTGGAACTCTCCCTTCAGAATGGAAATGGCAGTTTTATTCATTAAGCTCAAATGACCCCAATGTTGGCCATGACATCTGAGGCATGAGTTTAGGACACTGCCCAGCATTCATTCCCTCTTCCTCCCCACCGAGCTCACTCATGGACAGTCAGGAGGGCTAAGTTCATGTCCTGGCCGTGCTGCTGATGAGTCATATGATCTTTGACCTTGTTTTTTTCTCATGTTACAGGAGGAAGTTGGGACAACATGTTTTATTATTAAATTTTGGTGGTATTGGGGTTTGAACTCAGGTCCTTGCACATGCTAGGCAGGTGCTCTGCTACCACTTGAACTAAACCTCCAGTACTTTTTTTACTTAAGCTATTTTTTAGACAGGGTCTCATGCTTTTTGCCTGGGGCTGGCCTTAGACTGCTATCCTCCCACCTAGAGCTTCCCACATTCAGGGTTACAGGTGCACACTACCATGCCCAGCCCCTGGCAGCTGTGTTTTGGATTCTTCCCAGTCTACTAAATCCCTACAGAACTATGACAGAGCAAAGCCAGCTGCCTGGAGATTGGCATTTGCTGACTTATCCCCGTTGTGCAGACTCTGGGCTCTAGTTGCAGAGGCTATGATAGAAAGGGAAGTGCTTAGACATGAAGCAACAGGACATCAGAGAACCTACCAAGCATGTCTTTAAACTTCAAACACCAAAACTAACAATGCCGTGAATTTTCACAACCCGCAGTTCTTTTTCTCCTAAGGAATCAAACCACAACATATTTCTAGCAGTCCTCATGCATTCAGAATAGGAGTGGAGAACAACCTGTTTTAAAAAGCAAGGTATGGGATGAGGCACTTAGGTTCAAAATACAGAGGAAATGTGCTGGGTAGGACAATGATCACCACTTTGTCCAGGCCATTCAGTCTCCCCACAGTTCCTCCTGTGGCCATGCTGCAGGGAGGGCAGTGGAGGCTTTGATACTGGCAGTTTTCCTGGGCCAAGTGGAGTAGAGAGACAGAAGGGAGCGGTGCAGGTTATTAAGCTTGCTACAAGAGTCAGGACAATAAGGTGCTTGACAAGCGACTTGTGTTTTAACAAGTGTTAAAAACAAATCCATGCTTCTTCTACCAGGGGAAGTACTGATACCCCTCAGTCATCTGTGTACTCATGTCTGGAGCTCACCAACTGCAGCCATGCCAGAAGCAACTGTGTCCACTCACCCTTCTCTCTTATACCCCTGAGAGGGGAGGTCCAGGGCTGGGTTCTCAGAGATCTTGATGGCACTCTGCATGGCTGCCAACAGGCCGTTTCCCCCTTCGCCTCGCAGGGCAGGACCAAAGCACTCCGGGCGTCTGATGAGCAGCTTGACCACAACACTGGCATTTTCTTCCACACTTTCACCTGGGGAAGAAAGATGCCCATTTCCTCCTTTCTGGAAAGATGACCAACCCCAGAAATGACTCCTAGCAGATGAGCAGAGAGCAGTGTCTCAGTCATCAACTTTTAGATCATGAGGAGATTCTAGTGAGAGAAAGGTGAGCGTAGGTACATTAGCATCTGCTTATTTGATGATGAAGATCTGTTTACTAGAAGATTAACTATTATAGATAAAAGTGACTTTTACTCTTCAACTAAAGATTTTGTACCATTGAGATTATTTCACTGTATTTACGTTCTCAGAGGGTAAGAAATACTCTTGAGTCTGCTTCTGAATACCAAATCCTTCACAGATGACTCTGAGAACAAAAGAACTTTATATCTTTATTGACTTCTTGAAGGAGGTAACAACTTCCTTCCTTCCTGGAAAGGTTACGAGAGGATCACTCAGATTGGTGGGCCTCAATCAGTAGTCAGGGGACATTACACCTGTTAGCTCCTGGCTTTAGTACTCTCTCAGAACAACCAGGGCTGTATAAGTGGACTCCAGGTATTTCTGAAATCATTCATCCGGATGAAGAATCTGCCAGTCGTTTTACTGGTTATTTCTATAATAAGCTTCGAGTGCAGGTCAAGATGGGAGAATTGTATTGTGCTGGCATTTCTCTTAGATGGAGCATAGACAAGCAAGATGGGGTCTTGTTTCCTGACCAGGTACGTAGGCTAACTGGGACACTGAGGGAAGGATATCCATTGCTTCTCAGATCAAGTGCTTATTTTCAGAATTAGTTTACAGCCTGCTCACCCAATTCACAGAACATACTTCCGTCTCAGGTAAAATCCTAATTCATGTCTGAGAATTTAATCCCTGAGTCAAGACTCAAAGGAAAGCTATTTTTTTTTTTTTTTTGCTGTGATGGGAATGGAACCTGGGGCCTTGCTAGGCAAGCACTCTACCACTGAGCTACATCCTCAGCCTTGCAAGACTGTTTTGAAGTGGTACATTAGATGAAGCCTGAAGAAAAACTATTTCTCAAAATCGAAAGGTATTTCTTGGAGGACTGAGCTATACAATAGAGTTTGCACTGTGATATACTGTTATATAGAATAAAACCTCAACCTATGAGGCTAAAACAATCGGTATTTATTACCCCAGTTTCAGAGGTCAGGAATTTGGGAGGACTAAGTTGGGTGGTCCTGGCTTGTCACCTGCTGGAGGCCACAGTCTCACAAAGGTTGTTCCCAAGTGTACTCTCAGGGCTGCTCCTCCCTATGAGGACTCAGCTCCTCCCTATGTCAACCTCCTTTCTCACAGAGAGGCTTAGCATTCCATGACATGGCTGCTTGCTTCCCACAAAGCAAGTGGTCCAAGAAGAGTGCAGCAGAGGTAGTGATGCCTTCAGCAACCTGGCTATTCAAGGTCATTTTGTCATATTCTGGTCAGTACAAGTGATTCACTAAGTTGAGCTCACACTTAAAGGGAGAAGAATTAGGCTTCAGTTTTGGGTGGAGAAACACCAAATCATTTATAGACATATTTAAAAATCCTCCAAAACTGGGCATGGTAGCTGTACCTTTAATCCCAGCTACTTGGGGGATGGAGATTAGGAAGGTCATGGTTCAAGGCCAGCCTGGGAAAAAAGAAGTTAGTGAGACCCCATCTCAATTAATATGCTGGGTGTAGTGGCTTGTAACACCACCACTGTGGAGGCACAGGTAGGAGTTCACAGTCCCAGGCTGGTTAGGCAAAAAGGGAGACCTTATCTGAAAAATAACTAAAGCAAAAAAGGGTTGGGGATGTGGCTCAAGTGGTAGAGCACTTGACTAGCAACTGAAGGCTGAGTTCAAACCCCCCAATACTGGCAAAAAAAGAAATCAAATAGCTTTAGTTCTGTTCATTGAAAACAACTTCGAAGTGCTATGGTTAGGGCTGGGGAATGTAGTATGGTGTTAAGAGTGCTTGTGTAGCACGCACAAGGCCTTGGGTTCCATCTCCACACTGCAAAAAAGGGAAAAAAAGTTCTGTGATTAGAGCATCAGCAGTGAACTCAGAAGACCTGGTCCTTGTCCAGCTTTGCACTGAATCACTGTGTAAGTAAACGCACTACATGGTCTTGCCAGGTCTTCTCTGCTTTCTGAGATCCTCATTTGAGTGTCAGAGAACCTGTTAGTCCACTCATATGAAGAGATGTCTCCCGTGTCCAGAGGAATGGAGACGCTGAGCTTGTAGTCTGAGTGCTTGAAATGAACTGGGGTTCACCTGCACACAGACTTACACCTGAATGCACCTCATCTGTCTCCCAGCCTGGAGCCTTCCCTAGAACACAGGGTCCTGACCTAGAGCTTGGCCTCTTACACTTAACCTTCTGCACTGTAGAGGAAAGTCAAGGTTATGTGTGAGAATGTACCACTATGTGTTTTAGAATTATGCACCTTGAATCAGAAAATTTTTCATTAAACTGAAATTAAACAGTGCACCAATGTATGTTCACTGTCTTATAGCTCAATTCTTCAAGAAGAGTCTAATAGTTTTGTAAAGAAGTTTGCCTTTAAGGAGCTGAGTGTGGTGGTTCATGCCTGTAATCCCAGTACTAATAGGCTGAGGCAGGAGGACCACAAGTTCTCTGACTAGGCTACATAGTGAAACCCTTTCTCAAAAAACAAAAACCAACAAAAAAGCTTGCCTTCAAGTGTCATACAGTGTATATCAAAAAGAATTAGTTTGTATTAAATCAGAATCCATTTGAAAAAATTTCTCAGGTGATGTTAAAAGGATAAAATAATAGATATGGTGGAAAGAATAAACATCCTTTTTTGGGGGGAGGGAAGCACTGGGGTTTGAACTCAGGGCCTCATACTTGCTAGGCAGGCACTCTACCACAGGAGACACTTCACCAGCCTGACAAGCACATTTTTGAAAGAGAGAAACCAAGGAAAAGCTGAGTGACATTGTACAGTTTGTAAGAGAGCTCAGTTGATGTGACACTGCCAAGTATCAGGTACATGTTTTGCTGCTCAGTAAGCTATGGCTTACTCCCAGGAGGGATACTTCCATGAAAGTCCCAGTCCCAGGAGAGTCAAAGTATTTAAAAACAAATACTCAGGTACAGATGTAACTCACAGTTCACTACGTTCAAATGCTTCTGACAACCAAGGCCTGCTAGAAGGCACATATACTCTCCCTCCCAGTTGTCTGTCCTTTCTTCCCTTCCCTTCCTTCCCTTTCCTTCCCATTCATATTCCTCTTGTTTTCCTTCTTCCTTTCCCTTCCCTTCTCCTCCCTCCTTCTTCTCTTCCTTCTTTTTTTGGGTTTTCCAAGATAGTCTTTCTATGTAGCCCTGGTTGGGTCCCCAACTTGCAATCTTCCTACCTCTGCTCCCCAGTGTTGGGATAATAGGCATGTACTACCACCTTAAGTTTTATCTTCATTACAAGAATAATGAGACTAAAACTTTGAAATTTAAATAGCCAAAAATGAAAGAAAACCTGTCAGTCAAGCTTATTCAAATACTGTGTTCTGATTCTTCTAGCTACCTGTGGAAATGCTTGTGGGCCAGCCATACTTATCAGCATGCTGAACTCAACTTAGCTCTCCTTGGTGATGAACACTGAAGCTTGATGGGATAGGGAACCACAAGGTACAACAGAACTTGAAAAATCAAATGTTTATATTAAGATTGCTATTAATATTCATTTGCCCAATTATCCCTGTTTTATCTGAGTCTCACATTTTCAGAACAAGACTAATTACGTTGACTCCTACAACTGACCCAGGCAGCCATCCCTTGAGTACTGGTCTGGACATCTGTGAGCGGATGCAGAGCACACCCTGTAAGAGGAAGAAACTGAAGTACAGCTACTATTGCTAATTAAAAAGGGAACAAGAAGAACTTCCAAATGGTTCATAAGGCAGGAGAACTGCATTGATCAGAAGAGCGAGAACACTCTCTTCCTAATTACTTGCAGCTCAGCAAGCTTGCGCAACCAGATTTCATCCTGGTTAAACTGAATATTGACCTTGAGGGTGTTTTTTTAAGGGAGAGAATGATTTGAGGTAAACTAGTTTGCCCAAGGGTTTACAATAATGTTTTTGCTTGAGTTCCAAAATGAGTAATGAGCTTAATAACAGCATGAATGTTCACAGGCTCTCAACACTGTGTTCATATTACTACCTTCTGACATTTCTGAGCAGTTGGACAGAAACAGAAACGAGTCTTTCCATTTTATACTAGTAAAGCTGTCATACCACAGGGACAATGAATAGAAATGAAATAATTTCATCTTCGGCCCATCACTTTTCCTTACTCTCTGTGTTCTACCTACAGTTTCTGTCTTAAAGTTCCTTTGCCTGGAAAGCCACCTTTCTTCCCATTCCCTTGGCATAAACCCTTGACCTAGGAATGTCTTAAACATGGGAGCCTCAGGAACCTGGTCTTCTCAAACACTCTGCGCTCTTCCTTTATGTCTGTTTTTCTCATTAGACTTATATTCCATAAGGAGAGTGTCTTATGCCTGAATTATCTAACATATCTGGCATATGATAAGCATTTGAAATATTTAAAAAAAAATTTTTATTTGTGTTTTGCAATGTTGGGAATTGAATCCAGGCCCTTGTGCATGCTAGGCAAGAATTCTACCACCAAACTACATCCCAAGACCCTCCCCTTTCCCCCCAAGCATTTCTTGAATAAATGACTTCATTGAAACTTAAGGTAGAGGCTTTAAATGATCAGAGGGAAGCTGACTGTGACTATCCACCACTGCATTACCAGACAATTGTCAGCCTCTGCTTTTAAGAGCCTGGGTAGTCTGTGTACTCAATTGGTTCCAAGGAAAAGAAGAGTTCCCCAATCAAATCCTAGGGCACCAAGAAAGAACAATGGAAACTGATGTGGTGGCTCAAACCTGTAATCCTAGCTATTCAGGAGGTGAAGGTCAAGAGGATTATAGTTTGAAGTCAGCCCAGAAAAAAACTTCCTGAAATCCGATCTTAACCAATAAATTGGCCTCAGTGGTGCGTATCT